AGTTATTCCCTGTACCCAAGAAGGTCCTATCCAAACTCAGGACTCCCACGGTGATCTTATGGAACCAACCAAATGGTTAGGACGTGACCGTCATCTTTGACCTTTTCACTGCAGAATGTAGCTTTCTCATTGTTTTCCCCTATTCTGGAGATTGTCTAAGTATTTTTTTACGACGAAGAAAGGACTGCAAGTAAGGTTTTATTGTGCACCAAATCCAAGAACACCCTCCCTCTCTCACTCGGCAAAGCTCATTCCTCCTCTTCTGTGCACGTGCACTCCTTCAGGACCTGCGACGTCGCGGTTAATAAGAACACTTTGATCGTTCAGGCTAGTCCTTATTTGACATTGTGGTATCATTTCGATGGCCTCAATAAGCCCTAAAAGGGGTCCATCATTCTCGAAAATAGGTATAAGGTCTAGGGTCCTCTACATGGATACTATTTCCACTCCCTTCGGCGGGCTAACGGTTAGTAGGTGTACAGGTGCAGATCTCGAGACTCATCTCCGGCCGCGCTCTGCTGAGCAGGGTGAGAATCGGTCGAGGAACGGCAACGGCTCGTCGAGGATTTTCGCCTGTTCAGTCACGCTCTCCCGCGCGGACATTCACTCTCGCCACCGCGAGCCGTCTGTGCTCTCCGCGCGTACATTCACTCTCGACACTACTCTCGCACAGAAGAGAGCCATGGTCGAGGAATTCCTCGACCACCCTCCTGCTGAGTATTGCCCCTGGGCTGAAATCTCGCGTATAACGTTAGCAGTATAAAAAATCGCTTTCTTTCCACAAAACAGAGACATTATTGCGCAAAGAAAGACTGAGATACTGAAAGTGAGCTATTGCAGATTTACGACGCCGGCACGATCCAGCTAGCCGGTTCATTCCCTGGTGAAAGCAGGGATTGTCTCAATTAACCTTACCTGCTTTCATCTTCATTATTTTTGTGTGTAATTTTTTGATTGTTCCATAACATAATTGTCTATGCATTATTAATTAACTGTAGAAATATGTTCTATTAATGAAATAAAGAAAACCTATTATCAAGATGGTGATATAAAATCGCTGAAGACTGATCACTAGCCGTAAAATAAAAATCATCCTGATTGTATTCAGCATTGACATTTTTGGTGATTATGTGCAACTTCTAAGCAGTTTCAGACCGATTCAAATTTGTTCTGGGGAATCTGTACAATAATTCTTTTGCATTGATCTCGCTGCTTTATAACAAAGGATCGACCCGTCTCTTTCGAGAAACCCTGGCCAAGAAAACATTATGAAGCGATACCGTACCCGAAAGAAGTAATGGTACTGCAAGAGCCAAAAATAAGGGGAAAGATCGGAGAGCACTGCTACCCCGTCAGGAGTTTGTTTTACACTCCTTGACCCTTGGTAAGCTACATAGGCTGCTAGTTGATGACCTTGGTGATTACCCCCTCTGCTCCATTAACAGTAGCTAAACGAACTGCGGTTGTCGTTAAGTCCTACCTGCGGTTTCGTCTAAGTGAAAGCGTTAAAAAACATACTCGAGAACTATTTGATGACAAACATGCATTTTTCCAAGAGGCCATTTTTGTCGCAAAACTCCATAAGTTATTTTCAGTGTTTTGTTTCTGGAAAAATTAGATACCCATCCTATCGCGACCTGATCATAAGCACTTTCTTCTAGAAGTATTTATAGCATATAATTTAGAAAACTGCTAATATAAGAGAAATTCATAATCCTTAAATATTCCACTGAACTACTGAAGATGATCGGTTACAGGTTTACGACGCCGGTACGATCCAGCTAGAGGGTGGATTCCCCGGTGAAAGCAGAGACTGCGTCAATTGAGCTTCTGCTTTCATCTTCATAGTTTTGTGTGCGTGTACTTTCATGGTGCTTTACAACGTAACTTTCTATTCATTAGCTAATAATTGTAAGAACACTTCACATTCATGAAATAAAGAAAACTTGCATTGAAATGATAAAAAGAATTGAAAGCAGATCCTGAGATGCAAAATGGAGCCCGTGACTGTATCAGCACTTCCAGTTTTTTGGCACCATGATTTCAAAACGCGAATCTCCACCGGTTTATCCTGGGTTCGAGATGACAGGGTTTTGCAGAATTCCAGAGAAGCAGAAAGCCCATGCGTAAGGTAGAAAACATCGCTGCTTATCCTGCTGCCCTAGAACAATGGATCTTCAGACAAGTTTTGACATTGAGAAGTACATTTAATAGGGAGGTAATTTTTTCAAATTATTATTAGGGTTAATATCGAACAGTGAACAAGTTCCATCTGAGATTGGCTGTTCCCAGAAATCCACGGACACGCAAAAAACGTGCTTCTATGAACGTGCCATAGTTGGATGTGTGGCGCATCTCGAGAGGATGCGATTGCCATTGAGAAATGTTAATTTTTTCCTGTTTGAAAAAAAGCTTAATAATTAACAAGTAATAAAATCACTTTTTGAGGTTTTTCTCAAGAGCCTCCATTGTCTGCTTGATTTTCTCAGACTGTGCCAGAACACCGGCCCTATCATAGACGTCATCCAAATCTATCCCAGTGATATCGAGACTTGGAGCGTGCTGTAAAAAATGAGCAAATTTGGCGAGAAAACAGTTAGTGGACCCCAAAACAAACCCGAAAGCACAGAATTGAAAACGTACTGGTTCTTCTCTCCGAAGTTTTTTAAATTTTCTGAGCATTGTCTTCACATCGTCCATTTGGGTGGGCTG